TATATTTTATTATATATTCTTTAAAGAAAACTTTTAAGTATTTTGTGAAATAAGGTAAAGTAAAGAATATAACAATAGATCGCAAAGGGCTGATAAAAAACAATAAGAAGACCGACTCGCATTTTTACAAAAGAAAAACAAAAAATATGTATGTAATTCCTTACACAAATTTTTAATTGTATACTTACATACGTAATAAATTATTTGCTTGTAATTTTGAACTCCCCATGTTTCGTTTGGTAAGGTAGTAGTTATATGACATTCCAACAATAATATTTAGCATTTAGCACGTAAACTTATTATTAGGATGACATATTTTATTTACCAGACTGACTTTCTATAATTTGGTAGCAATTTTCATTAAAATCAATATAAAATTATGATCTTAAATAATAMTACAATACACAAATGTGCACACATTAATATAAATTATATACATATGTATAATACATACATATCTAGCTCATATGCTTTGTATGGTATTTCTTTTATGTCAAATGGTTTTAAATGTGATTTTCCCTAGGCGGACGATTGCCTGTTTGATGCAGATCTAAAATTCGATAATTTCTCAACGGATTTGGCTATAAAACAAGAACCGCAATCCCTCACTGATGCAGAAATGCATGCATTAGTTAAGGACCGACAGAAAAAGGATAATCATAATATGAGTAAGTAAAAATAATCAAGTATTTGGCACTATCCCCGAGTAAGTGCAATTATTTGCAATTATATTTGAATCTAAAACGTTTAAATAATTTATTATAACTAAGTGTAAATTGTCAAGACTTTATTCACAAGATTTTATACTCGTATCTTGCTCTCATTTAATTTCAAAACAATAAAATACTACTTTAACATTTACTGCAAAAAATATATGATCTCTTTTACTTTGGGTATTCACCTTAATATTGATAATTTTTACAAATATAATCGCAAAAAAAAAAGAAACAAAAAATGTATCAACATTAAATATTGAACTCGATTTAATGATACTACTTTAATCGTAGTCAAAAGTTAACCCTGTATTTATTACAYGAGCGATATTGCAGGAAGGTAACAAATAATTTTTATAAAGTTGTACTCAAGCATTTAACTTTATTTATAGTTGAGCGAAGAAGACGTTTTAACATAAACGACCGCATTAAAGAACTGGGTACATTACTACCTAAAACTAACGACCCATACTACGAAGTTGTACGTGACATACGTCCAAACAAGGGCACAATACTTAAATCCTCTGTCGACTACATCAAATGCCTTAAACATGAAGTTTCGCGGCTAAAACAAAATGAGCTACGCCAACGTCAAATGGAAATGCAAAATCGAAAGCTTTTAAATAGAATAAAGGTATCTCAATAAAATATTTTATACATATATGCCAGGCCATTAACAGCTTTAATTTCATTTCAAGGAATTGGAAATGCAAGCTAAGTCGCATGGAATACCATTAAGTGACTTTAATTTAACATCAGTGTCAGCACCAGCCCCAACATCTTTCCTCAAAGGAACCAGTCCTGCTTCGCCATTGTTACATAATAATCATTCAACATCCTTAATTCCGGATATGGTAGAAAAGGTAAGTAATGCGTAAAATTTTATCGTTTTTTGATAGGAATATTTTATTCTCATAATAATCCTTAATTTTAGTTATCGGTTATAACAAGTGAAGCCAGCCTCAGTATTACTCCAATAGATGACCTTATGGAAGATAGCAAGCATCCTGTGCAATGCGGTGATCCTTTGTTGTCATCAAACATTAATCACTTTTTCTCAGCAGCACATTCGCCAACAGCAGCGCATCTACAATGTTGCAATAGTTTCGATGGCAATGATTGCATTGGTGACAATGCCCACGACTGTCATAATCCCAACTGCCAAAATAACGCAAACTCACTAGATGACCTCTATCAAAACACAGTTACTTCGCCCGCGTCAACAGRGACACATATAAATGGTAACTGTTACAGTAGCAAAAGGAAAAATATGGGAAATTCAGTATGCAGCTTAACGACAAGTTGTCATCAACCCAATCATAACCATCATCGTCAACAACAACACCACCATCAACAACTACAACACTCGCAGCAGGAAATGAAACATTGCTGCGAYAACAACCACTACTTAAATCACTCGCAACATCAAATAACATCCATGGGCAATAAAAACGATATCAGTTGCCTCTCCAAGTCACCATCAACTTTGCAACACGGTAGAGATCCCCTGTTATCTTCCTCGCACCACCAACACGTGACTCAAAACCTTAACGGCTTGGAGTCATCATCTCTTCAGCATCATAACCATCATCTGCATGACGACGAACATCATGTTGGTGCATCACACGCTTCTGATGATTTRTCTAGTGCAATGATGAGTGATTCTCTTTCACTAGTCTCATCAGCTACAAATGATCCTATGCTATTATCGCCTGATTCCTTGGACATAGACTTGGCATGATAAAATSGCTAACACACAAATTTTATTTATATTACCTACGAATGTATTCTATAATAGAACAAAATGAAGGCAYTACAGCTTATGCATCAGAGAAGTATAAAATACGTCTCTTACACAATGTATGTATGCATACCAATATGTAAGTAGAACATATGTGTGCAAATCTATATACATATGTATGTACGTACGGGCACAAGTCATTGCAAATATGTATATACATACATTGTTCTTTTTTTTTTCTTTTTCTTTTCTTATCATAGGAGCATATATTGCATTGTTGATTGTTACAAAAATACATATTAAGAAAAGAAAGTTTTAGATTGAAAATTTACTTAAAAACATACGTTAATACAAAATACATAAATGCTTTTGTGTATTAGATTAATTATGTAAAATATTGTATTATTATAAAATAGTGTATTTCTTTATAGGCAAACAGAGTTTTAGACTTTTAAGCATACATTGAATTCAGATGTTATAATACGGACCAATGTTACCACTGAAACTGTTTGAAAAGATCGGCATGTTTATTTTAGTCATAACTTTATCAAATTTAATCACATTAAAAGAAAAGGCCAATTAATTAATTTTAGCCCATTCATTTGAATATGAAAAATGTTGTAATTAATGTTATTTTTTAGAATTAATTAATGAACATACCTACATTTAAATTAAGCAGAAATATTGAGAATAATCTCGAAGTAATTTCACTTTTAGTCCATGTCGCGATATTTTGAATACCAATATTAAGTTGGTTGACCCACCCTTTGACCTACATATGTACCTACATATATATATATATATATAAGTATGTAATATATATGTATATGTAAACGTAAGTAATCTAGATGTGTATAAGAGACAGATATATAAGTATGTAATATATATGTATATGTAAACGTAAGTATATTTATTTGCATGTGGTATTTAATAATAGGAATAGCCAATACAAAATTTTTAACAAATTTAAATTGTGTAAAACTAAATGCCATAATTGTACATATCAGAAGTTGCATTGATATTGGAAATATTTTGAAATAWATGTATGTATGTATGTCAATTTTAGTGTATCGGGAAATTTTCAATAGAATTTCGGTAAAAAGCAGCATCTTCTCTATATTCAAACTTTGAAGTGTGTACTTTTAAATGAATATTTTAAGTCTATGTGCTTACATATACAAACTTACATATATGCACGTCGTTTTATGTATACATAAATATACATATAATAAGTACAATATTTCTATGTGGGCATATATCAATATATATGTATTTACCTGTTAACTAATGTATGTAAAAATGTATATTTGTATGTATATGCGTACATACATATGTACATAGGTTGTTTAAAATAACGTAATTTGTCTTTATTATTAATATTGCATTGCAATTTTATTGTATTATTTATTAATATTCACCACAGGCTATCCAAATGTGAGCATCTTAGCAACTATTATAAAATCACTCGCTAAATGAGAAGAGCTGTGAATTTTTAAGATAAATTATTATATTCAATATGTTCATATGTATGTATGTAAAACACATATATTGCTACAAAACAAAATGACCAATTAGGCTCAAATTCTCGATATATTATGCAATCAATCCACAGTGCTTATTTCGACACTTAAAAAGCATAATCTAGCTGGAGAAAATTTTATAATAAATGAAATATATCGTGCCGTAAAGGAAATATGTAACTATGGTTGTTGTCACTGTTGTTGTAACAGCTGTTGTTATTATTTGTGTTAATGATTTCGTGAACTTAGATAACAATAATCATTGACAGGAGAGAACCTTAGCCTCCTCCTGGTGAAAATTGGTATTATTGAGATCCTCAGAGGTAAGAAAAATTATAATAAAAGGCAATAACCAGATTTTGGTGTATGGTAACGACATTATGCTCAAGATATTTAACTCGTAAGCTATTCTACATATGGTAATACATAGCGTGTTTAAGCATAGCTATTGTAGGTCAAAATCCTTCATTATTTCTGTTCAAAGCTAATGTTAAATATGAAGTCATTAATTAAAGAAGAATTACCTTCAAATCAATACTTGACCATACGAATATATTCTATGAAAAGATAATTCATTCAACATAACTAATTCAGTTTTACCATAATAATAAGTTCAGACAAAATGATCTATACTTATACCAATAAATGATGTTTAAAAAGTGCTCTAAATCTCCAAAAATTGCAGTTATGGTTATTTTTTACAAGACTGTGAAAAATATAGTTAAACAAAAAAGTATAAACCAAATTTCTACCTATTGTACAACTTTTGATACAAAATTGAGATTTTTGGTTATTGTAAATATAATAAAAAAAAAAAAATTTTAGATACAAATATTTTTTGTTGTTCAATAGAATTTAATTGTGTATTATCATGATTCCCCACCATATTTACTTTTCAATAAAACTTATTTAAAGCGAATGTATTTTTTATTATAGAATGTTTACAATCTAATAAATTTGGTTTTAATATTTATAAAATTGTTAAGAATGCATCCCAAATAAGTTGTTTTCGCTTTACACCCTTATAAGTTGAAATCACGTAATATTTAATAAATAAAAAACATCTTAGGACACTTGTTTATCATTTTTTAGCTAATTCCGCAGATAACCAGTCAAGACCTTCATAGAGCCCATTGCCCTGAGTAGCACACGCTGCTTGAATATACCACTATAAAAAATATTCGTTTATTATATTAAAGCGTTGTGAATGAAATGGAGCTTACATGACGATTTCGAAGTTGATTAAGTCTCAATTTGTCGGTCAATTCAGCAGCACTCATAGCATTTGGTAAATCCTGTTTATTAGCGAATACAAGCAATACAGCATCACGAAGTTCATCTTCTTGCAACTGTAAAAATAAATGTATACGTTATCTTAATATATATATATATATATAACCACGTACCATATTCTGTAGTTCTTTTTCAGCTTCATTTATTCGGTCGCGATCATTTGAGTCCACCACAAATATTAGACCTTGTGTGTTTTGGAAGTAATGGCGCCAAAGTGGTCTGATTTTGTCTTGACCACCGACGTCCCACACCGTGAAACATATATTTTTATATTCCACGGTCTCAACATTGAAACCAATAGTTGGAATGGTCGTGACAATCTCCCCGAGTTTTAATTTATATAGAATGGTGGTTTTACCAGCAGCATCTAAACCAACTGTACATACACAGAAAATAGATATGCAATTTGTGAATATATATGCTTAAGATATTAATAATATCAAGTTCAGAAAATAATGACGTCGAAAGGGCGAATCTTTCGATTATTCCATGTAAAGTTTGCATATTTTTGTATGCATTGGTAAATACAACAAAATCATAACTTACCCATCAAAATACGCATTTGCTTCTTTCCAAAAAGACGTGTCAGCAAACTAGAAATTGTTAAACCCATTGTGGCAGAACTTTTGCAGATTGATATATTTTTCTAAGTTGGAGTTAACTTTCAACACGGTAATTGTATTATTATAATACTTTTGGGTTTCAGTCAATTAATTTTACTAGGATTTAAATGAGATACTCTCAATTCTTAATTTATCGACGTGTAGTAATAGTAATGTTCTCCCATAAGAATTCCAATATGGCAGCTAAAGAATGACAAGCTCAATAACAAGTGCTTTAGTGACATTGCCAACATCAATTTTACCCGTTTGTACACCATGCATTCTATATTCACTTTTTGTGACTTCATGCTGTGGAAAGATATTATCTCTTTTAATAAAAATTGTCAAATTTGAATGTAGTCATTATTTCAAATATTTCAACTAGAACGTAGAATATAAAAAAGTGCATATTCGATAGTTAACATTCCAAAATTTTCAACCAGCGAATTCACCACACAACGGAGGAATTTACTCCCTGAATACTAACATTGTTTTTACTTTTAACAGAAGATAATCTGTATAATTACCACAGAATGTTAATAGATAGAGAAGACGTAAATGTTAGTACTAAAATGTAAATGATTACAAGCGAACATCGAAAAAGCTCAAGTTTGAAAATGAAATAACACCACGGCACGAACGTACATATAAACGTACATGCCAAAGAACGCATACATATTAACGAAAATTAGAGTAAAAAAAAATTAATTGAATTATTTGAAAAAATTAATATTCTTACATATGTATGTATGTATGATCATTTAAAAAATCAGTAATTCACTTACCTAAAAATAATTARGGGAATCCTGCACTCTTCCGCCGAAGTTTAAAATATTTCTCAGTCCTGATATCTTGGTTAATTTTAATGCTCGGAGTGTGGGGAAATATAGTAAAAACATACAATTTTACAGTTTATACTATTTTTTAAGAATTATGTTTTATTTTGCAATTATCTAATATATATTTCGCACAAAGAGAGCAAAAAAAGTTTGCTTCATCTGCACCGAAGCAATAATACCCTTCCCAAGGTGTCCTTTCCAGAATCTGGCTGCCAGGTAGGTAAAGCATGTGCTGTACCTGGCCAGTGCTTATGTGACTCTGGTGTCTCGATGTGATTTAAAAGTCATGAGGTGACTTCACAGGAAATTGGCAGCCAGTTGGCTCTACATAAGTAAAGCTGACACTGTACTTGGCCAGTGCTTAGATGACCCTCGCGTTGCGATGTGATGTGATTTGAAAGTCACACAGTAAATTCGCAGGAACCGGCTGCCAGTTGGCTATATAAGTAAAGCAGGCAGCGTGCTTCGCCAGTGCTTAGGTGACTCTCGCGCCGCAATTTGAAAGTCATGCGGTAAATATAGCCTGTTGGCTGTATAAGTAAAGCAGGCACCGTGCCTGGACAATGCAATTTGAAAGTCACGCAGTAAATTCGCGAGAAGCCAGCTGCCAGTTGGCTTTATGAAAGAAAAACGTGATCCGTGCCTGGCCAGTACTTAAGTGACTCTGGCACCGCGAAGTTACGTAATTTGAAARTTATGAGTTGATCTCACGCAAAATTGGCTGCTTAAGTAAAGCAAACGCTGTACCTGCGCAGTGCTTATGTGACTTTCTTTTGTGCGTGATTTACAAATTATTATGTGACTTCACGGGAAATTGGGTGCCAGCCACAATTTACATGRAGCATAGAACAAATAGCTAATTAGCATTCTAAATAAATATAAGATAATCTTTTTATAAAAACCACTTTCGTAATTTATTTATCTTTTAATTTTTGCTGGATGTAAAGTATTTTTATAAATATACGTTTTAATACAAACACTATGGAAATAAAAAATATATGTATGTGTAAAAAATATACACTAAGTTTTTAAAGAATTGTATTTAATCTTCTACTTATATATGTATATAAATCAAATATTGCAAACTAAAATATATATTTTGTATTTTAATGTCCAAACGGTAACAATAACACGTGACATTAATATATAGTGCAGTTAAAAGTTTACAAAAATAAATATAGCCCCTTTTTCTACTTTTCGTGTGATTAAAGATTTTATTATTATTTTAATTTTCGTACCTATGTATATACACACGATTTGCGAATATTTTATAGTTATACTAATTACCATACCAAAAGGAGATGGAAACACGTGCAGTTATTCTACTTATACATCTCTTAACTTATTGTTTAAAAAGTACAAATGGACGGATTATTTTTCAATATATTCTGCTTTTATAAGGAAATTATGCAGTAAGGCCTTTTGCTTAGTGTTCCTTAGTATAAAGATATTCTTAATGATCTATCACTTTAACAGCACAATAAAATGTGTGGAAAATATAAGAATTAGATTCTATTAGTCTACGAATATCTTAGTAGGGCCGGTGAATGTAATAAAACACAGCCTCATTTAATTTACTTTATAGTTTGTGCAAATGTGTAAGTTAGTAACCAACAATTATTGTTAGCTGTTTTATCTGATATATATATATGTATGTAATATTTGTAATATTCGCGATTTGCATTTAGATATACCATGGTATGTATGCAGTCATATAATTTTGTAAATATTTAAATCTTCAATGCATTGACCATATTAGAACATACATATGTACCATCTGGTCAATGTGCCCTTAAACATGGGGCATGTGCTTGCTTCCTAACGAAAATGCGATTTGATACATTTTAGTTTGAAACCGAAATGGGTTTACACTAAATTCAATTAAATGAGCTACGTTAATATTTTGTTAATAAATTTAAATTCAAAAAAAGATCAATAATCAACATAAACCCTATATAATTGCATGGAAAATACAATAAAATTTAATAATTGTAATTACACTTTTTTCGAAATAAAATGTAAGGTAACTAAAAACAATTATATTACAAATTAATCGACAAAAATAACTACACATCAATCTAAAACTTATATTTTAAATTCTGAGATAAGAAAAAATAATTGGGGCGTTCACAACCTGTCTTAAAGCATCGTAAAGTCGTAAAATTTCAAATTTTTACACTTGTTTAAATAAAAATTAGGGTTTTCACATGTCTCTTAAAGTTATAAGTTATAAAGATTCGAAAACGTAGTATAGAGGATTGTAAATGTGTAAACTCATTTTTGTATGTAATCCAACAACAAATTTTTTTTAAACAAGTGTAAAAATTTAAAATTTTACGACTTTACGATTTAAGACAGTTTGTGAATACCCCAAATAACATAAAAAATAATAACGTAAAATTTGCCGTGCAGTTTTACGATGAAGAGTGCAAAAACTAGGAATAGTTGTTCAAATATTTCGAGATATTGAATTTATTTTGTTAAAAAAAACCCAATTTAATAATTTTTTTAAGTTAATTCCTTCAAAATATCAACCGCAATCGGTACTTCACTTCATCTAGCTTAAAAATTCCCACTTGGACAAAAAAAAAAATGCTTGATAATAACATATTTTTAATATTCTTTTATACTCCGCAAAAACTAATGATTTTTTACTCTAAATTTCAATATTCTTAATCCAAATGTCATTTCCGGGGGYTTTTTTAAATCGTCTATAGTTAAGTGGGAGACACAAGCTACGCTCTCAAAGTCTATTCAAGCCTAAAATAGTCCTTCGGTCGCCAGGGGCTACACTGTAGTTTTAATATTGCCACTTCATTGTCTTTGGTTTCACTTTAATTTTTTCACGCAATGAACAAATGTATAAATGAAGTTTTGTGTGGATATTGAATACGTACATGCTTCACTAGCACTGGCCATAATAACTAATCAAGGTTTAATGATTGATATGTTTACATTATTCCGCGTATGCGAACATTATAGACAACAACAGATAAGAACATTATATAATTGGATAGAAAATAATTAAGTGTAAAATTTAAGTCTATATGGAAGACTAACTATTAGACGGATGTGTCCACTTTGCACATGCTACTAATTTAGTAAYGCCTTCAGTATATCAACGTTTACTTTTGTGCAATGCGGCTTTARGTCAGGAGAAAAACAACTACGAAAATAAGAAACAATAACGTTATACTTTATACATGTTTTCATGGTCAAAATGCTAAAAGCAAATACCAAAACAATAGGAATTAAAATGTTATTTTGAGTATGACCTGCATTCGTATTGATTCTCTCGTTCATTCTAGACATTTTAAATTAATTATAAATTTGCAGAAAAATTATTATTAGTGTAATTGAGTTAAATGAGCAAATTTGTATGATTCGTAAATTTATCGATTTGTATGAGGACCCTCATTATTATGTTGAAATAACGTCTCTATTATTTCTATACTAATGCTTATGGGTTCAGTTATGGATGTACCTTATTGACACATGTGCATATCCATATGTGTGGTATATGCAATGTGTATGTTTTTGATATACAACATATTCTTTCTGTACACATCGCATTAAAGTGCCATTATCTTTACTTTACTGACATTTTTACCATTTTTCATCCTACAATATTCATTCCTAATCAAACCTCACACTTCTGTGCTATGTGTTTGAATACGAACTTTTTTCACACTACTACTACGGTGCATGGGCGGCGAGCTTCCCGATCCTGAAAAGCCAGGGTTTGGAATACCTAACGCAGGGTCACGAGGCGGGCGAGGTTTCTTTAAACTGGAGCGAAGCGGAGAACGTGTTAATGATTCCACTGTTGAACCGTTTGATATACTAGTCATTGTAGTTGACATAGATGCGACACTTCCTYCATTTCGTATACCGCTATAAGGCCTGCCAGATGCATCAGTTACCGAAACACCTAGAGAGTATACAAACAAGTTTTTTTTTATCTAATAAAAAAATTTTAATAAGAACTTTTACCGTTCCTTGGTCGTGACTCTTTGTAACCAGGATTGTTGTAAGTTGTGGCGTTGGCCGGTGAAGAAGTGTCAACAATCATGGTGGGATCTCCGCCCATCCGACGTGAGAAAAGTACGTCGTAAAGAGCGGCAAGAAAAAGTCCAATAGTTAAAGCGATTACTAAAACCTATAAATAATGATATTTCAATGCATTGATTATTTTGTAATGAATGCGTGGTGTTACTTATAATACCTTATAATAGTGGACATAGAAATGGGTTTGTGAATAATAAATGTAATGATATTTAAATAACTTCACTTCGCTTAAGAATACAGCATTTAGTAAGATATCTGAATAAAATTTGATAGCTCTAGAAAAAAAATATATTTTTTCGCTTGTATCTGCTGACAGTTTCTGACTAAAAAAAAATGTTATGATTATAGTTGTGGAATATGATAGTTGTCGAAATTCTAATTGGTTTTTGTTGTTATAGAGACGAATCAGGGTTTAACCGATAGGTGGCATGCAGTAAATTTTTTCAGTGTCCCTATCGCACAACCAAGATACTCAAAGGCGCCATATTGCATTGAAATTTGTCTACAATAACTAATCGTTTGGTAATCTATTTTGGTTTCCACAAAACTCAGTAAATTTATTGACTATACTGACTGACTATATGGATATAGACTTATTTTTTACTAGCTTAAAACCAGAAATACCACTAAATTGTATTCGAATAATTTTTCAATACATTGYATTCAATAAGTATATATTGCAAGTAAATGTACTTTGTTACTTCTATAATCGAAAATATATGTTAGAAAATATTAAAAGCATTGTTTACCTGTAAATAAAACGATATGCCTCGAGAAATTTTAAAGCCATATTTTTCTGAATCATCAATTTGTAGAGCAAACATTACTGTTGCGATAGTAGCCAACAGACCTAAATAAATAGTTGCAAATAAATAAATAGGAAAAAAAGAATGAAAAATTTATAATCACATGCTATCAGCGCCAATATCATCTTAAATATAACCAATGTGTGGTAAGGCATTACAACTTTTTCACGAGAGGATATCATCGCTATTTGTATTATCGATAGAACACAGAAAATACCTAGAGCTGCCGAGCTTACGATGGTTAATAGACCACTTATGTTAACGACAGCTAAAATTAAATATTTTATGATGGCTTTTTCTATTTATCTTTAAATACTTACTGGATAATCTAAATTTCGAAACATCATTACCACATTTTTCCCGGTTATATGTTAGCTGTTTGCAAACTTTGAAGAGACCGAAATATCCTCGATCGAAATCATAGCCACCTGAAATTATATTAATAGGTAAATATGTATAGATTATCAAAAATTTATAAATAGTCACCAGTTGGACTATCATAGTAACCCCAAATAGGTATTCCTATAGCAGCTGAAGCTAATGCAAAGCAAAGAAATCCTAAACAAGTTACTCCAGCGGCATAGAGAGCATTGCGTGATTTTGCCATCCTTTGGATATCTGCATAGTATATATGATGTTTACATTAATCAAATTTAAATTCGTAGCTTAGAGTTTTCTACAGGCTGACAGGCGGTTGTCATATATATCTACCTAAAAAATTGAGAAATGGTATATATTATATAATGATTGTTAAATATGACCTTATGGTAAAGGTGGTTAATTTTGAGATAAATAGAATTTTATATATTGCTCGAAAACTGCAGGTCAAACGAAATCTTCGTAGCACAATGACAACAAACATATTGAAAGGACTGCTTATTTAACTACTGTAGAGTGATTTAACACCATTGAAATCAATCAAAATATAGGATTTCTTTAATGTTGGTCATTGTTGTGCCTCACACAAYATATCGTTCTAAAATTCACCATGACAACATAAAAAGTGGTATTAAATACGTACGTACATATATACTATATAGATTCGTTTTATTTAATGTAACCACGTGAAGCAATGAGTTTGTTGTTAATATATATATTAATACTWAATGAATATATAATTAAAATACCACTAAAAACAAAGACAAATATTATAGAAAATTAGCACGTGTACCTATTACCACAGCCTGAAAAACAATGGAATATGACTAAAAACATACCAATGAATTTTAGAACTCCGAGTTTATTATACCGATATAATACCAATACAACTGTCAACAATTTTTAACTGACCCTTTCTAATCCTGGTTTTATACATACTTATGTACATATATGAAAGGTGAACAAATTACACACTTTCTAATGCAATGGTTTCACGAACTTTAGTAGGGGCAACTTTATAAGTACATACATATGTACATATGCATAGTAGTTATGTACTAAACTCACTAGAATTCATATTTTTTCTTATTGTGACGCACTACGGAAAATAGACAATAATTGATGAATCTCATCATTCTTTCAGTATTAAGCAAATATATTAATTCGTTGCATTAATCTTCTCAAATATACAAAAAATAAGAAAGTTTAATCGAGTTTTACACATTTTCTATGAAATAATCCTAATATTTAAACATTTAATTATTATGATTGATTGGAATTGAAAAATTTAGTTGGTAGCATATGGACTATAAAATTAGACTTCAGAAAAGGTAATGTGTTTACAGTATTGCATTCGAGTTTTCACAGCAAGAACCAAAAAGGTATAATATCTCTTAAATATATGCTTGTATGTACGCACATTGTGCTCTCTCAAGTTTACAGTATCACGCGCATACAGAACGTAAAAAAAAAAAACAATAACATGCACGTTTGAAGCGAATCTATATGTATATAATATAACAAAAAAACAAAAAAAAAAAAAATGCCAGAGAACTTGCGATAATATTATACATCTCTGACAAACCCATCCGAAATGAAGTTAATAAAATACTTACATACACATGTTTTTATTTACCCTCTAGAGAAGTTGCACGATGATATCAGAGACATTCATTGTGCGTTGTATCTTCTCTGGTGATATCATTGATAAAACTACAATTACGCCGTATACATATGTACATATGTAAATAAGGGGGAGTTTAAATGCAAAATACTAACATATGTTGTTATCCATGTACTTATGAAGATGTATGCTAGATATTTTTATAAAACAATATAATTAGTTTTTAACTTCTTTAATGACTTTCCTACATGTTTTAATTCAAATGTGGTCCACCATAAGTTCTCTATAAAGTCAAAAGCTCGGCTCTAAAACTTACGTTTAGAGAACAGATATAAAACAAATTTCGGAGATGAATATTAACTATCTTACTCTCTCTGATCTTCAAAAGGTATATATATGCATATAATACATACATATATATATAAACATACATATGTATGCATATATAAATAAGATGGTGGTTAAAACCGGACCTTTTTGTTTATATATTCTTATATACCGAACTATTATTTAAGCTTTATAATAATCCAATAGTTTGTCTCAGATAAAATGACTGTGTAGGTATGCATTTCAAGTTTTGTTCCAGTGAAAAGTGGAATGGGCGACAAATGCGATCTACTATGTACTCACTCAATTGTATAAAACTTACCCGATCACTAAATCATTCCAGTATACAGCGATGGGCAGCTTTAATATATGGAGTTTTACCATACTTTCTTCGCCAACAATTTTCGCTAATGCGTTACTTTATATGTATACATAGTCTTTATTTTCATTAATTTACTTAAGTTTTGAATTGTTTAACGTTCATGTAACAAAATCATCCCACATTTTGAAAGTATCTTCAAAATTATACATTTGAGTAAAGGCGATTAATTATTAATATTGTAGGTAGGTACAAATGCTTTTTTCTACACTAGTAAGTTAATATGTTATATTAAACCTACACATATACGTTGCAAATCTACAACATGCATTAATATATTGCTGTCAAACCACGTATGTATTAGTCTCACTTGGTGCATCAAATTGAATTGTTACGCGGCACTTAAAACTTTTTTATTGTAGATGAATTTAACATATGTACGTGTGTATGCACATGCAAACGATTCAAATTTTTGCTCTTATGTATTCCAATACGCTTTAACACAATCATATTCAAAATTTGCACACCGTCTTATTTTTTCATTCATTTACACCGTCTTTAAACAGCAGCGCACCTTATTACCAAACAAATGCAACTAAATGGTGGTGTGGCTATAATTTTCAAAAGTTTCTTCATTTCTTTTACATACTACCTTCATATTTAAACGTACGGAAAATATAGAAGCTATACGAAAACGAAACGAAACGAGAACTGCACGCAACTACAACAATACAAAAGTTCATTCTTAATGATTACAAATGTGTATACAATATTTTCACCATGTGGTAAAATGGAAAATTAAAAGCTCATGTTCTTTACGAATTTATATTTTTATGAGGAATTGATTTGAGTTGGTTGTTCTTTTCATAACCATAAAGAGGTAATGGATACCCATATAGGTATGGACAAATATCGATATTTTTCGCTAAAAACTATTTTATCAACATTCACTTCGAAGTATCCATCGATGAAATCACTTGTATTGTGTATGATCTGCTTACGTCGTATGGACTTAAATGTACAACAGGGGAAGCTTTTGCCGAAGGTATAAAAGCTTGGACAACTGTTTGTTGGCATTCAGTGAATTATTTACGCCGGTAATTTTCCATTGCAATTCAGGTTAGTAATATTTTATCCTAAGGAAAAAAATTTATTTTAAATACTGACCAACTTTCAGGATATTATAATTTGATACCAAATCATTAAAAACCATAATGTCGGTTCCTGATGTAGTTCTGAATAATGGATTAAAGATTCCCATCCTTGGCCTAGGGACATGGGGCGTAAGTATACTTATATAGTGTGTATTTAATATACCTATTGTGAATATGTGTGGCAGTTTTATATATGATTTTATACATATACATATATTTTATTTGAACAACTATTAAATAAGGCAAAATATGTGATCGTAATAATTGATAGTAATTCTGCGCAAAAAGTGCATGTTAAGAAACTAAGTACGTACTGTTCCCAATAGGAGATTTCAGTAATTCTATAAAAGCCTTTATCTGCATCAAAATGCCTTTACGTATTAATTCCATTATCATTTTTGAATATTAATTTAGTTTTCTTAAAGGTAGAACTACCACTGGATTATAATTTTTTTATGTTTTAGTACCCTTGTATCCCACAATCTTTAATATTAAGTATTTTTCTCAACTAGAGTTCAATTGCGAAAAATGTTGATAAATGAACTTAGCACGCGGAGAGAGTGTGGCGATTGATAAGAACTCTATGTACATACATATTTATAATTTTAACACAAATCTACATACATACGTATGTATGCACATATATCCAGTAATTCTAGCGAATCATTGCTATGCAAATGGCATTTTGTCAACAATTTTTTAATCTTCATAACAAGCTATTCTTGTATTTCGGTGCTTAAAATTCTAGTGTGTCTGTACGTGTATGCCATTTGATGAAGAAAATTCAAAAAATAAAAATTTTTGTGAAATCTTTTGCTCTTACTTTCCCAAAAAAAAATAAATAAATTACTAACCATTTAGAAATGAATCGTCAATGAAACCTTTACAAATTGTATCAATTATCAGTTTTTTATGCTATATAAAGAAATACAAGGACAAGGGTTATAGAGCAAATAGTAGTTTTGTTAGTATCTATTTTGTATGAGTTTTTGCAGAAAAATTTGTTAGTTTGTGGAAGTTTATTACTTATGATACTAAGGAACCTATATACACATACACTCTTTACATTTTTTTATTCACATATAGAATATGTACGTACCCATAAATATTTTAGATTATTTGTCAATTATTACATATTTGTTGTTATTTTACATAGAGTCCTAAGGGAGAAACTGAGCAAGCCGTTAAAGATGCTATCGATGTTGGTTATCGTCACATCGATTGYGCACATGTGTATCAAAATGAGGATGAAGTCGGAGCCGGAATTGAAGCTAAAATAGCTGAAGGTGTTGTGAAGCGGTGAGAGTATTTTGATAAAATTTGCGTATCATACGTATAATAACAGTTCTATATTACAGTGAGGAATTGTTTATAACCAGCAAATTATGGAATACCTTCCATAGTCCTGAATTAGTGCGCGGAGCCTTAGAAACTACTTTAAAGAATTTGCGCTTAGATTACCTTGACTTGTACTTGATTCATTGGCCAATGGGCTTTAAAGAGGGCGGAGCATTGTTTCCAAATGATGATCTTGGCAAAATGCAATATTCGGATGTCGATTATGTAGACACATGGAAGGCAATGGAAAAACTTGTAGAAGCTGGTCTTGTTAAGTCCATTGGTGTGTCTAATTTCAACAAACGTCAAATTGAACGTGTGCTCGAAGTTGCAACTATTGTTCCCGTTACAAACCAAATTGAATGCCACCCTTATTTAACTCAAGAAAAGCTGATTGAATTTTGTAAATCAAAAAACATTACTATAACTGCATACAGTCCTCTGGGTTCACCTAGCAGGCCATGGGCGAAACCAGAAGATCCCGTTTTGTTAGAGGACGCTAAAGTAAGTGTTTATCTAAAAAAAAGTATAATTTATATTAATATATGTACACAACTTTTTCAGATTGTGGGTATCGCTAAAAAGTATGGCAAAACCCCGGCGCAAATTCTCATTCGCTACCAATTGCAACGTGGAAACATTGTAATCCCAAAGTCTGTAACTAAAAGTCGTATTGCATCTAACTTCGATGTGTTCAATTTTGAATTAAACACAGAAGATATTTCCACAATTAGTAGCTTTAATTGCAACGGACGTTTCGTACCTATGGATAAGTAAGTGGTTAATATAAAATATAATCATATTTGGCATTATAGTTATTAAATATCGGTTTATTTCCTATATCAATGTTGCATATAGAGATGTCATTAGCGCTGCCCGTTTAATGATGAGTTTGTTCAAAATATACGTCAGCTTTGAATCTTATATCTGCATTGTTATGATGAGTTATTACACATTAAATTCATTTTGACTCCTAAAAATATTCCAATAATTTCAATGCATGGAATAAACTAATTATTTGGCATTGATGCTTTAATCGCGATTTATGTGTAACTCCTTAATATATCTGCATTATAACAACTTTCCAATAACATTATTGCTAATATCTAAATTCAAAGAGTTTATTTAATCATATTTTTATTTTCAGCCATCGATCACATAAGTACTATCCATTTAATGATGAGTTCTAGTGAATGGTCCWTTGGTTGTATTACTGTAATTATTCATACATACATAAATTCATATTTTTATATAAATGTATCTAATGATGGTATATTAAATAAATCAACATAAATGAATTAGAATAATGAGATTTATCCGTTCTCTGCCTTCTCTACAAATTCACGGTCTCTGAGATATTCTCTGGAGAATCTATACAGGAACGAAACGGGAATAGCATACAGCACGTACATCCACTTAAAACAAGTAAATACATCATTCAGAGAATGACACATCAAGCGTTCATTCTTTAAGTTTACAAATGTGGTATATACTATATTCATCATACGGTGAAATGAAAAATGAAAAGCTCATTGAATATATTTCCTTTACGAATTTATATTTTTTATGAGGAATTGAATCTTTTTATTGCAGTCATAAAGAGTTAATGGATAACCATATAGACGCATATGTACACATGTTTATCTTCACAACATGCACTTCAATTTAGAAGTCAAACTTTTCGGCGAAACAACGATATGAATCAATTGTATTGTCTATGACCTGATTAAGTCGTTTATAAAAGTATGAACTTAGTCAATATAATAGCAAGGGAAGCTTTTGGCGAAGGTATAAAAGCTTTGACAACTGTTTGTTGGCATTCAGTGAATTATTCACGCCGGTAGTTTTCCGTTGTGATTGAGGTTAGTAATATTTTTTCTAAAGGAAAATAATTTGTTATTAAGTACTGACAAACTTTCAGGATATCATTGTAATTTGATACTAGTCCATTAAAAAATCATAATGTCGGTTCCTGATGTGGTTCTAAATAATGGATTAAAGATTCCCATCATTGGTCTAGGGACATGGGGCGTAAGTATAATAAAAAAATTTAATATCGATAAATATATAATGTGTATTTAATATTCCTATTGTGAATATCTGTGACAATTTCATATATTCCCACTAGTGGATTTAACAAACTCCATAAAAGGCTTTAAGTGCATTAAATAATCCTTACGTCGTGGTGATGATTTTCAATGCTAATTGAATTTCTTTAAAGGTAGTAACTACAGCTGAATTATAATATTTTTTTCTAAATTTTTAGTAGTATAAAAAGATTTGGTAGGAAATTGTAGATAGATAGATTAAAAATCACTATTTTCTTAATTATATTTAAATGTGTGAATATTTTATCTTTTGAGCAATATTAACTACTATTGCATCCATTTATTAGAACCATGATTGGCCATGTACATACATATATGTATGTCTAATTTGAAGTAGTTTAGGCAAAAACTTATAATCTATTATCAAGAATACTTGTATACTATGTATACATACACTTTTATCGCACAATCTTTAACAAAACAAATAAGTAATTAACCATTTAGGAATGAATTACTATTGATAACTTTGCAAATTGTGCTCATGTGCTCATGTGTATAAAAATAATTTTTGTTTAATAGTAATTGATTTTTTTTAACGGTAGTAACTACAGCTAAACCACHGAATTATCAAATTTTTTTTAAATTTGAGTAGAGTAAACAATATTTGATAAAAAATTGTCTATGTAGATAGAGTCAAAGTCATGACAGAAAGAAGTGTAGGCAAAACCTTATATACTTTTATGAAGAATACGGATACATACAAATACTTGTTTCTCACAATCTTTGACAATATTAAGTATTTGCCTCAACTAGAGTGCAATGTTGCATGATGTTGATAAATGAACTTAACACTCGGAGAGAGGGTGATAAGAGCTCTATACGTAATTATAATTTTTATATCTAAGCTAAGTACATACATATATCCAGTAATTCTAGCAAATGATTGCTATGCTATGCTATATAAGTTTTCCTAATTGTCGTAACAAAGTATTTTTAAATTTTAGTGTTTGAAATTCTTGACCACTTGGGTAAGGAAATCAAAAATGGGAATGTTCTTGAAACTTTTGGTCTTACTTTATTGACGAAACAAATAAATTACTAACCATTTAGAAATGAATCGTCATTGAAAACTTTGCAATTGTATCAATTATCAGTTTTTATGCTATACATAGAAATATTGTGAAGTCTTTAACTTTTGACAAGGGTTAAAGAGCAGTTAATAGTTTCGTTATTATCTATTTTGTGTGAGTTTTTGCAGCAAAATTTGTAAACTTGTGAAAATTTATTAATTATTATACTTAGCAACATACATACATATACAATATATATGTACCCATAAATATTTTAGATTATTTGTCAATTCTTATATATTTATTTATCATTTACATATGTAGAGTCCCAAGGGAGAAGTTGAGCAGGCCGTTAAAGATGCTATTGATGTTGGTTATCGTCACATTGATTGTGCACATGTGTATCAAAATGAGGATGAAGTCGGAGCCGGAATTGAAGCTAAAATAGCTGAAGGTGTTGTGAAGCGGTGAGAGTATTTTGATAAAATTTGCGTATCATACGTATAATAACAGTTCTATATTACAGTGAGGAATTGTTTATAACCAGCAAATTATGGAATACCTTCCATAGTCCTGAATTAGTGCGCGGAGCCTTAGAAACTACTTTAAAGAATTTGCGCTTAGATTACCTTGACTTGTACTTGATTCATTGGCCAATGGGCTTTAAAGAGGGCGGAGCATTGTTTCCAAATGATGATCTTGGCAAAATGCAATATTCGGATGTCGATTATGTAGACACATGGAAGGCAATGGAAAAACTTGTAGAAGCTGGTCTTGTTAAGTCCATTGGTGTGTCTAATTTCAACAAACGTCAAATTGAACGTGTGCTCGAAGTTGCAACTATTGTTCCCGTTACAAACCAAATTGAATGCCACCCTTATTTAACTCAAGAAAAGCTGATTGAATTTTGTAAATCAAAAAACATTACTATAACTGCATACAGTCCTCTGGGTTCACCTAGCAGGCCATGGGCGAAACCAGAAGATCCCGTTTTGTTAGAGGACGCTAAAGTAAGTGTTTATCTAAAAAAAAGTATAATTTATATTAATATATGTACACAACTTTTTCAGATTGTGGGTATCGCTAAAAAGTATGGCAAAACCCCGGCGCAAATTCTCATTCGCTACCAATTGCAACGTGGAAACATTGTAATCCCAAAGTCTGTAACTAAAAGTCGTATTGCATCTAACTTCGATGTGTTCAATTTCGAACTAAACACAGAAGATATTGCAACAATTAATAGCTTTAATTGTAACGGACGTTTCGTACCTCTAGACAAGTAAGTGGTTAATATAAAGTATAACCATATGTGGCATTATAATAATTAAACATCGGTTTATTTCCTATATATATATCAATTTTACATATAGCGATGCTGACCATGAGCACTACCCGTTTAATGATGAATTTTAGTCTCGTAAAGTTGAAAACAAGTGAAAATTTAGTAATTTGTTTAAAATATAAGTCAGCTATTGGTCTAATATCTTCATTGTTATGATGGGTTATTTCACTTTAAATGCGTTTTGACTCCTAAAAGTATTCAATATCTTAGCAGTAAGTTCAAGGCATATAGATATTATATTTGTTATTTGCTTGGTATTAGTGCTCCCCCTCCACTTATATGTAACTCCTGAATATTTCTGCAACAAGTAATTTGGTACCAAATAGTATATTCCGCTTTTGTTRCACTAATTTTCCCCTTCTGCTTTTTATAACAACTTGCAAGCATTTTGACTAATATTTAAATTCAAATATATTTTTAATCATATATTTATTTTCAGCCATCGATCACATCCGCACCATCCATTTATTGATGAATTCTAGTGTGCGAAACTTAGTCCAGTTAAAATTGGAGTTATTTTACTGTAATTATTCACACATATATAAATACATATGTATATACAAATGGATTTAATGACACGGTATATTAAATAAATACATATATTTTCGTTACCTGTTATACATATACTTAATTTCCAATATTGGAGTTTTTAAACACATGCACTTAAATCAGGAAGTTTATGATACGGAAAGTGCTGTAAAAACATTGAGCTTGCTTGGATCTATTTGTATGGCTTCTTTTACTTTCCGATGGCATTCTTTGATTCACATACGAAAAGATCTACTAATAAGATTAAATTATATTAGTTTTCGTATATATGTATGTACTCATTTGAAAAGTATAATGAATTCACGGACATGTTATCGATGGTATTGCTTTCAGAATAAAAAATTATTACTGCTGTTTATTTCAATTAAAAGCACTGATTTCGAATGGTGCTAGAAATTTAAATTTTAGCGTATATTAAATAATAGCCCCACCATATCTATGCACCAACCGAGCCCAGTTCTTTCAACTTGAATTTTCTGCACACTATTAAAATACACCTGGTATCCTTGGTAATTTTTATTTTTTAAAAGTGCAACTTCTATTAATTCCCGGTATTTGCCTTCCTGCGAGTGTGATTGTACTATGTCAACTGTTGGGAGAAGGTTTAAAGTCTGAGTTTAAATGTGTAAAACCAGTTACAGATGAGATGCGGTCAACAATGGCATAAGTAAGAAAACGAATCAAGTACGTTCATCGCGTTTTATGCATATTCAGTTACTCTAAGTCTTAACAATTTGCATCTTAACTATTTAATTTATAAACACATGCAAGTGGGTGCATATATACATTTGAAGTTAACCTCGTTATAACATATTGTGTACGTACATTTCCTTTATAATCTTTACTATGTATATACAAATTTATATCCTTCAATGCACATGTACTGTGTTAAATGTAACTAATACCTAGCTGTTACGTACGACTGTTCCACTTCTTTTATGTGATTATTGCACTTCATCGTCCGTCGGCAGACAAAGTACACAAAGAGTAGGTTTCGCTGAAGAATATGCCTCTTAAAACGGGTTACACAATTGTAATTTGTCTATTCGTCTAAGTTTTCCCGCTGTAGGTAATTTAAATCAAGCGTGGTCCTCATACATTAGAATACTTTCATATCACATTTCACATTTGTCTTTTTATGGTAAAAGTGATGAGCATTGCGAAAGGAAAAAACATCTTCAGGTCGGATCGTATGGCTTAATCAGAGAAAATGCAATATGAAATGAATGTAAAATATTTAATTAGAAGCGGAACTTCGCGTATTACAATACATACAAGCGTCTAATATAGTAAACTTCCCTTTTTCAGAAACTACATATCATCACCTGAAATGCAAAATAACGTATCATCAAAAAATTCGAAATTAACTGTCTTATTGATTACGCTTCATTACATCAAATTACAAACATAATATTACATATGTTCGACATTTTCAGGTTCTGCGCTCAGATATAAACCAGTTTTATCCAATATTAAATTTTTTTTTCACTCATGTTCCATTTTATTTCGTGTTTCATTCATGCCACTGTAAATGTCCGAAAATGCTGTTACGTTATTTTGCATTTCAGGGGACGATATGTATTTACACTTGCTAACATTGTAAAATATGTTTTGCAGTTGTTGAATTTCTAAAAGTACCCTAATCGAAATAATTAAGCACGATTGATAAATAGTAATATTATAATTTCAATTCCGAAAGACGAGCTTTACAATAATGCTAAATATTAAGCTCAAGTTTTACAATTAAAAATGTTAAGTACTTTATAGGCTAATTTCTCCTAAGATTTCATAATCAATTCCCACCACATTTCCTAACATACTATATGTCTGCGATCAGCTCTTTACGCGATTTGACTGCTTTCTAGGACGTTAGCCCATCAATGCCATAAGCATAATATCAACGATATCGAAACAATTTATCATATACTAATTTATTTCTATCCTATTTAAATAGCGGCAAAAGCCTTTGCTTTTCTTTTATATTCTTTGTATGTATATATCTATATAGATGTGTATATATATGTGTATATATATGTATATATTTTTTTTTATTCTGGTACTACTGGTAGGATAAAAGTTTAATGTTAAGGTCAACATTTTGTGGAAGATATTTTGTAAAATGTATACTGGATAGAAATACTATATGAGTTGTTGTGCCACTGTTAATACAAGCTTCAAGCTCTGCACCTGTAAGGGATGGTAGGAGTATTCTAAAAAGGTATACTGCTGCAACAGTTGCCATTTTTACCAGTCCTGCTGTGGTTAAAGTATAAATTGATAAACAAGAGCATTTCAGTTTATTAAATCGTCTGTACTTATACAAACGGCGTACGATGTTGCATTCGTGGAATTAAATTTGGTAATCTGGGCACCAACGATTAGTAATAGATTAAATCGTAGTGATTTATGTGGGAAATAACTGCAATGACAAAGATATCGTGTATACGCAACGTCATAGTGAATGAAAAAATATTTTTTATGAGTGTGCGTTAGTAAGAATGTTGTGGAAATTGTCATGTAAAGTGTATATTTTAACAAAATGTAGGCATAAATAACTGTGTTTAGTAGAATAAAAACTGTTATTTCACACATATGTATACGTATGTACGTAAAAATAAATATATATACATATATATAAAGGTTAAAAATCACAAAGATTTTTATCAACAATTCTGTTCATATACAAAAGCTGTTGGCCTTGTTAATGTGTGAATGTTACGTCGCTGATAAATGTCGTCTGGTGAGTGGAATTTGTGTGCTCTTAAAGCACTTGAAGAAGAAGAACAGAAAGAATTTCTTGCACTGAGTCAAAAAAGTCTCTTCGAATCGGTATGTTTGCCGACGGGAGAAGATTTGCTGCATCAGACTGGAGATCTTAGCCACAGTAATTTTCAACCGAAAGTATCGTATGCTCAACAGCATCCACATCTATTAAAGTTGCCCACCATTAACGAATGTAATCTCATTGCAGCGGCTCGAAGACGTCGATTTCGGTTGTTGCAACAGAGCACATCAGGTAGTAGCAAAGGAGAACGACAGTTACAAATTACTCGTGTATTATCTCTCTCAGCTCATTCCTTAACAGAACGCAGCAATCGAAATCAGAAAAATGTTGCCTTATCAGAAACTAACGACAAAATGTCCCAAATTAGTGGGTCAACTCAGTTCTATAATGTTTCACCATTCTACACACCACCCTCCATAAAACGATGTGAGACTTCTCACCCCAAGTCCTTCAAGAACTCTCTGCAGGACTTGAAGAAGCAAAAAACGGATCATAAAAGGGATGGGACAAATAAATCGCACTCTAAATATGGTTCCAACTCTACAGCTGCCTCAGTTCCTGAAGAACGCAAAAAGTTGCATACCTCTTTGCTTGAATCTTACACTTCTGATGAGAACGATTCAGAGAAGAATTCTATTAACATTGATCAATCAGATCACTGGATAAAAACATGTGAAGATTGTGACGACAGTGCCACTGAGGCAGGTTCGTGCTCCGTGCCTTTGGGTACGGATTCAGTTGACGCGATTCGCCTTATGCTATCCGCCGCAACTGCAGCTATCACATATACCTCCAAGTCTGATAACACCCCAGTTTCTGCCTCAATGTTAACCACAGTTAAATTAGACGGCCACAGAACTTCTCCACAAACTAACCACAGCAATAATCTCCTTAAATTGTCATCATCGTCAGCAGCCGAATCCACATATAATGGTGTACGAAACGAAACTAAAGAAAAACGAGAACGCAGCTTAACAGATGATAGCTATGTTAATAATGATGTCAGCAAGTGCAACAATAAGAAGAGTAGACACCCTTTGGTAACTGCCCGTTATTTAAATAGTTGTCATAAGGCCAACTTGTTGGATGTGAGCATGGAATTTAATGGGTGTTTGCAGGATAATAAAGCCGATAACACGGTATGGAAGTGTAACGTTAAAACAAGTCCGATTGCTCAGAGTATAGAATTGACCAAACCAGCAATAAAAAATGGATTAGATATTTTATCCAACTTTTCTTGTAACAAAACGGTATGGATGAAATCAAAACCGATTGTTACAAATAAACCAAACAATCATATCCAGAACCTACTTTTACATGCCACCCATGGAGAGAATCTCCATCATTCATTAATACGGTGCAAAGACGTCGTTAAAGAAGAATCTCTAAAAAATTATAATGATTGCAAAAACCCACTATCTATGGGAATTTTACCCATAGCCGAAAGACCCAATTGGTCATCTTTTGCACAGTTGCACCACCAATTTATCGATGATGAACTTGAAGAACATATCAAACAATGCTCATGTTCATGCAATCATATGGGTTATGGAAATTCTATGGATTATCAGGTAATTTTTACTTAATTACAGTACGCCTTGTTTACAATTACAATTTAAAAAGGGTAATTAAATGCTAGAAAACACGATATCAAACAGTGAATGAGACAAATACATATATATATAAGAAACAAGGCAAAACGATAACTTCGGTTACCGAAGCTACCCATACCCATTTTAAATAAAAACTACACCCAACTCTTTTTTTACACGGTGGATACGTTCCTCAGAAAACCGTGTAAAAAAAAGGTGTTTCATGTAGTAAAAGGGGGATACGTTCCATGTCATCCGAAAACCGTGTAAGATGAAGTAAAGAACTATATTTACTTCGATAAACCGTGTAAAAAATGTTGAAAACTATAAAATTTCGAATATGCATACAAATTGTATATTCATGTCATTTTATTGAGCATTAAAACTTAAAATACATAATTAATACAAGTGAACAATTGGTATATTAAGCAAAAAACAAAAGAAATCTGTTAATCCTGAATTAAGAACATGTATCATGCGAACAAAATGTGTAGGTAAGAGTTATCGTATAAGAAGATTTCCCAGTTACTACTATGTATGTTCTTTAAGCAATGGTGCTAAAACACATAATTACAAGACACTGATTTAGAAACCGTACAAGATTAAAGAATTTGTACCAAATAATCTTTTTTCATTTGTATAACTTCAAATCCATGTAAAAAGAAACCGTCTAAAAAAAGAGTTGGGTGTATTTCCGCACAAAAATTTGACTTCAATCGGTCAATTTGTATTCTAATATGTTATTGGCAATACAATGTTTTCTATAGTATATTTGATATGTGTATTATCGAGAAGGAAATATGAAAACTCATTAAAGTTAATTGTTTTCTTTTATGAAGTCAGACATTATTATAGAATTAGGTAATAGTAACTGTTCTCTAGTAAAGTAAAGGGTATATTAAATTTGTATATTTCACGCCTTTATGGAATACACGTCTTAGAATAAAAGAAACCAAGGCACAACAGTTGGTTGAGTATCGAAACTGTTGGTTGAAGTTCCACTCTCCTGTATAAATGTTGTGTCTCGTTTGAGACTTATTTGGTATGTATATTTTTCTTGCGCTAATTCTAAATACTAATACATTGGCGATACAGGTGTAGAGCTTTGTTGTAATTTCATTAGAGTGGAATTTGCTGGTAAAATTTTTTTTGGATAGCAATAAAATTAACGAAAGTTTGTGGGCTAAATAATAATATAACATTAGATAGTTAGAAAGGCCTAAGAAATGAACGCTTTATTCGCTGGAGTTATTAGAAGAGTCAATTAAGAATATTTCACATTTGCATAATGCGCAGTCGCGAATATTTACCCTTAACTATACTAAATGCCAATGGTAAAAGTTGGACCGGCAAAATAAGGCTTGGCTGCAAATTACTTGGTAAACTAGAGGAAATTATTGTAGAGAAGTTCAGTGAATTTGTGGATACTGCACAGTGGCATCACCCAACAACTAGGCGAGAGCATGAAATCCAGCTGATGATAGTTCAGTTTCTATTCGGAAGTTATGAAGTAAAGTTGCCCATCGAGAAGCATGTCGATGAATGGCCATGAAGAGAAGTGCCATTGGAAGATATACTTCCAAATATATTAATTGTACAAAAATGTTATAAGACGTGATAAGAAAAAAGAAATGGGTGCAACAACATGTAGTGATTAAAATTCGAAATATAATTTTATATTATAAGGAGTCATGGAATTGCGACAATTGGGATATAAAGAAATGTGTCAAATGGAGCTACTGCAAAGGTCTACTTTAAGTGGTACCAGTGGAAGCGCAGTTTTACCCATCGTGATGATACAACCTTCAACAGTAACACCAAGCCGAACTATATTGGCAACTCCTCAGAATAATGATCTTAAAGAAGTGACGAATAATGAAAATATCTACCAATTTAAACCTTCGAACATATTTGTTTCTAACGCTACCAAGTCAGATCAAATCGCTCAACATGAACGGCTCATTCCTGGTATTCTCTGTGGCGGTAAAAAACTTTTGCAGTCAGAGACCATTTTGCTTCCGACCCTCGAACAGAATCAACAGCAGTTTTCGAATGATTCCTTCATGCAACAGCTYCCACAGGCGCATAAACAAATTCCACAAATACAGATTCAGCACTCACTGCCACCACCTCTCAACATAATTTACACAGGCACACTAAACACATCTTCTCGCATAAGAGATATACCTGAAAGTGCTAACCTATCTCGAGACTTCAACAATGGCACCGCCAACAACAATGTAATCAGCGGTACTGACAACGCTATTGGTGACGATAGCGATTTAGAGGGCAGCGAATGCGGCACTAGCGTCTCTGGGGCCACATGTATACCTCATTTTAATTTTGGTGGTTGTGGTATGATTCTTCAACCTACATTAACTACTAATAATTGCGAAGTTAATGGTCATCGGCCACATCCATATCATCAACGTCGACCTAAGGAACCAGAAGATGTGGGGTGTGCGGCATTTTCTCACATGATGGGCACATTCGCTTCAGCAGCAGGCGGGGCAATGAACTCGACTCGATTCACAGGCACTCTCGGTTCTCTTGCTGGAGTAAGTACCGGACTTTCGAGCACATTGGGTCGTAATCGACGTACGCCCACCTGTCTTACGGGGTCTATCCAGCAAAACCCAAAGCGTGTATCATTTAAAGAAGATAATTTATCAAAAAATAGCGCGAAACTGTTGGAGAAAAATCAAAGTAACTGCGATTATTACGGTCATTGTGACAATGATGCACTCCATAACTGTTCTTATATGTATCTAAAAAATGTTACTGACTGCCAGGTGCGTATTCATTTACAGTAAAGCATTAATTAGCCACGTGCATTTTAACAGACTTTAGTATATAAGTAGTTAAGTTTTGAAGGTGCACAAACCAAAGGCTTATTTATATGTTAATATGTAACTACATTTCGTCACCTGAAATGCAAAAGACGTGTCATCAAAAAATTCGAATTTGAGTGTCTTATTGATTACGCTTCACTACTTAAATTACAAACATAATATTACATATGTTCAACATTTTCAGATTCTGCACTCAGATATAAACCAGTTTTAATAAATATTGCATTTTTTTTCACTCATGCTCCATTTTAGTTCGTGTTTCATTCATGCGTTACGTTATTTTGCATTTTAGGTGACGATATATCTACGTCAACCAAATCCAACTACAATCATGTTGATAGAAAATCTAATAGACAATAAATTTTCAAAACTGACAGTCAGTTAACTCAACAATGCTAAGAGGTTTGGAATGTAATCAATCCTTCATCCTTATTCGTGTCACTTTTTACCTGAATAAACTGCTAAACTGGTCCGTTTGCAGTAAAAGTTAGCACACTGTGTGTGTAGATTTTCTTTGGTATTAGTCAGCATTTTAATTAATTTTTAAAGAAATTTTAAATCAAATATCAGAAATAGTAAAAACATCTTATTGCGACCCATATTACGTTAAATAAAAAAAAAAAAAAACAAAGCCAAATTGAATACAACGACTTTATTTTTTTACATTTAGGCCATTGGCTTTGGTGGCCTACCTGATGTCACCGAGCACTCCAATACTCGTCGCACACATTCCCGCCAAAACTCCATTTCGAACAGTGATTCAGGTGGCGAAATTGCCAATGCTAATAAGTCAAAATCAAACTTGTGTGATAGCAAATCGCCGCAAACAGGCCAAACTACCCCCGTCGAGCGTAAATCAAAAATAACCCACCATGCAGCTGCTGCTAGATGCAGCAGGGCACATCGCCTCAAACCGCGACGAGGTTCCTGTGCCATAGTCCTGACTTTTGTTGGCACGATATGCTTGCTTACTATCGGCGCATTGCTTGCATACCAACACTTTATGGCTCCCAGCCGCAATTCGCATGCACAAAGACTGAAAATAGTGCGACGGATACTAAAAGAAGTGCCGTTGGTGGATGGCCATAATAATTTTGCATGGAATGTCCGAAAATACGCGCAAAACAGCTTGGAGTTGATAAGCATGAGACGCGATCCTGACGCTGAAGCATGGACACGACCGACGTGGGCTCAGACGGATATTGAAAGGCTTAAGCAAGGACTGGTCGGTGTACAAATGTGGTAAGTAAAATTGTATTATTTGCATATTTTAATAATACTTGTAGTATTAAGCATTGTATGTAATTGACCATTTATATATCAGTATGTATACCGCAATTAAGATTAAATGCCTCAATTATTATAAGCTTAGTGTAGAGTATAATTTTAACTGACTGAACTGAATATTCAAATCCTTCTGAATTTAGTACGTTTAACAATATTATGATAAACTGAATTTACTGATGCCCCTGAAGCTTTAGTACTTCCATAAAAAATCATCCAACAATCTTTAGATCCTTTTTATTTTCAATTTAAATCGTGCCAAAATCACGCTACTTTCTCCATGTTTATAGCATTAGGTTTTTGAATAATTTGGATTACTTCTTATCTTCCAAGAAAATGTTCTTACAACTTTAAAAAACGAATGTTTCATTACAAAATGTTGGACTCTATAAAAAAATAATGGTTGTTTGTAATAAAAACATATACTGAGCATTAATACAGTATTCCATGTCGTATGAACAACATACAATTTATAAGGCACTTGCCTGCATTCGATACATACATATGTAGCTTTGAATGCGAATTACCTTTAATTTATATTCAAAAGAAATAACAAAACAAAAATCAAGTAGTTATGATTATTACCGCTTTATTCGTTTTGTAAAGACTGATTTGAACTTTTTCTAAAACACTGTAAACACATACAAAAAAAAAAAGTACTATTAGCTTTCTTTATCTCATGCACATAATCTACAGGTCAGCATATGTTCCATGTGAGGCATTGGGACTGGACGCCGTCCAAGTAGCAATAGAACAAATTGACATTATCCGTCGCCTGACTGACATGAATACCTTGGATACAATGTTAGCAAAATCTTCCAAGGACATTTTTATAGCTCGACAGCGTCATCAGATGGCTTCGTTAATTGGCATCAAAGGTGGTCATGCCATCGGCTCCTCTCTTGCCGTTTTAAGATCATTCTATTCAGTTGGCGCACGTGCCCTTAGCCTTACGCATAAGTGTGATCTCTCATGGGCAGGATCAAGTGCCTCAGAAACAGAAAATGGTTTATCCGCGTTTGGCAAGGTAGTCATTCGAGAAATGAACCGCTTGGGAATGATGGTAGATTTATCTTACAGTTCTGCTGCGACAGCCCGCGACGTCTTGCAAATCACCCGGGCCCCCGTTATATTCTCTCACTCCGCTGCACGACAAATATGTAACTCCACACAAAATATACCCGACGACATTCTTAGACTAGTGGCAGATAACGGTGGCCTAATTATGGTTAGCTTCGACCCAGAGGACGTGGCTTGCGGTCAACCGGCATATCTTGCAGATGTTATAAAACATATTAAACACATTCGTGCAATAGCTGGTGTCCAACATATTGGGTTAGGTGCAGGATATGATGGCATAGAAGAACCACCTATAGGCCTTGAGGACGTATCCAAATACCCAGATTTGCTGGCGACTCTGCTTCAAGATCACAATTGGAGCGAGCAAGACATTGCAATGTTAGCTGGAAAAAACTTTCTTCGCATTTTGGAAACTGTGGAAAATGTACGAGACTATTGGAAACGTGCTGACATTCAACCGCTCGAACAGACTGAACCACAACCGAAACCACAGTGCTCATACATGTCTTCGTGACCATAGCTGCAGACAGTTAGCAATCCTTGTGCTGCTGTGCACAAATTTTACCTTAATGGATGCAATCGTATTATGTATACAATAGAAAGTATGCGGTCCCAGGTAAATACTGATGACTTCAGCAAAATACAATTGATATATTAGGTTATTTATACAATTAAACTACCCATATTTGTATATACATATGTATGTTAATTAATGGAACATTAGCTGCGCATATACATATGCATGCTTGTACAGCAATAAAAAAATTATATGAAGCTGTGTAAATCGGAGGATTGTATTTAAGGAAATATTTGTTGTGAAAATGGAGTCTGCCAAGGAAATTTAACTTAACATAATATACAAAAAAATAGAAAATTAATAATACTAATAATATTGGATAGAAGAGTGAATTAATAAGTTTACATCGGAGCACAAATTACAAGCATATCTATTCAAATAATTTCTTTGGTGTACATTCGGTTGTTATGTTTTTCTGTTTTTAGGAAAGAATGTCAGATTTTTCGAGAGGCTAAAAATAATTTTGGAATATATGAGACTATAAAAATTAACAATTTCAAACTAAAACACACATTTATACTCTACCTAACTAAAATATTTATATGTAGTAAAATATATAATTTAAATTTTCTACATAAGCACAGGTAAATAAATGTGCCAATATTTGCATATGTAGTTTGTTAGAGACTATTGAGATTGCCAGTTGTAACATTATTTTTATTGTTACTAAGACAATCCTTGCCACAAGTAGATAACATAAAGATCTGAATAACAAACGCATATACATACACTTTAATTCTTAAAATCATTTCCAAAAGTTATGTGGTGTCCTTACAAAAAAAAAAAAAGTTTAACTATTGAATTATTTTAGATCGGTTTGGATAATTCATTCTCATCTACTTGCAATACTTCTTATTTGTACTACAATGAATATTGTATGTGTAGAGAAAAAAAAACAATAGTGAAACAAATTGTATTCCGTTACAAATATTAGAATTAGACACACGTACAGTGATGTATTTAAAAAAATATGTTACAAAATATCAATATAACTAATCACTTAATTACATCGAAACGATTTTAAATATATACACATGAATAAAAAAAATATATGATATACAAGTTGCTAAAAGAGACATCAAACAATTGTTTTGAATCAAAAATTTAAGCAACGAAAAATACTGCATTGTATATATGTACGAGTATCTTTGGTAAACTCATACCATATTCGTGAAAGCAAGGGATCCATCAAAAATGGTTTTTATTTGAAAGAAATGTTTTTTCATCCGTTTGTCCACTCATTTTCACTCCTATTTACATTTACTTTTAAATGAAAGAAAAATGCAATAAAATATAAGTCAACATAAAATATATATAAACCTTCTTTCTAGTTTTTATTTCAAATATATACGGAAACGAATCTTAGTTTATGTGTAAAGTAAAAACGGGTAGGTATATAAGCAATTAAAGTAGTAATTTTATTAAATTTAACATTGCTATCATCACAAAAGTTGTGATTATTGTTCACTTAAAACTTTAAGAGATTTAATTACATAAGGTATTAATGCATTGTCGATTACATGGAAGAAGAATTATTTCGTTATAGAAGGGTTTTCTTGTAAGCCCAATATTTTAGTTACAAAGCTTTAACCTCATGCTTTAAGTAAATAATGTATTCAAAATGCATTTAATGCCTAATTTCTTTAAAAACCGGCGATTTGGAACACATTTTTATTTTTCTAAATTTTTGGGTGAATCCAAATTTACTTTTTCTTTAATGAAAATATGCCCCTTTGCAATTCTACAAATTTCTGCATTTTTATTTTTTCTCTACGACCAGTAGTTCAGAAGTTATAAGCATTTTTGTATTCGGCACATTGCATTTAATGCGTAATTTCTTTAAAAACCGGCGATTTAGAACACATTTTAATTTTTTTTAATTTCTGTGTGAATCCAAATTTATTTTTTCTTTAATGAAAATATGCTCCTTGCAATTCTGCAAATTTCTGCATTTTTATATTTTCTCTACGACCAGTAGTTTAGAAGTTATAAGCATTTTTGTATTCGGCGGCTGCTTGCTACATGCTCCTGGTCGCCTAGTAGAAATCTGAGATTTTGGCACCAAATTGAATGCGATTTTTTCTGCA